CTTGTGGGATCTTGTCGTGTGCCATGCATGCTGACGTACACCTATTTTATATGGTATACGTTAGACTTTGAGGAATGATAGGTCCAGCTTGGAGATATGTCAGAGCCGAGTATCTTTAGCAGGAGTGCTTTGCAGACAGAGCAGAAGAAGAAGTTGAAGCCTAGTTTTTCTTCTATTAGTTGATGGTCCTAGTTTACTTTTATAGTTCTTTCTTTTTCCGTTGATCGATGTACTCTATATCTCTTCAGCATTCAGTTGGATAGTTTTGTAATAAGGGCAGGTTTGACCCAAACTTTGTGTCTCGGATGTTATCTTATTTGTGATATGACCTTTTTTTCTAAGTTGTTCATTATATTCTTGCTAATTGTGATCGGGGACCTATGACTTCACATTTTATATTGATTGACACTTAGCGTATTAGGTTAAGAAGAAATAGTTTTTTTATTTATTCTTCTCAATCTAATACGTCGGGGGCTTGTTCGTATTCCGATTCTCCGGTATTTTAGGAAGCGGGGCGTGACAGGTTTTTTTTTGGTGGCCCATACAGGTTACGGTCCCGAGTTCATACCAGTGAGAATATAATGAATAATTTAGACACATATCATATTTCATCTGTAAGAGTATAGTTAGCCATTATCATATCATCTTGATGAATTATGTCTTAGTCCCTACCTTATCAATTTTCAACTCCGGAACTTTCCACTGTTTCTTATCTCGTTACTTCCTGACTACACTCTCTTCCTAAAACTTCTCTTTCCTCGTACCGATCATTATTTTATGTGTTATTATTTTTACACTATATTTTCTTTGATTTGACTTATATAATGTTTAATTGTATTGATTTCTATATTATTTATTATATTATTTTATGTATCACACACAGTGTTATATTGTAGGTTTTTCATTAAAAATATAAATTATTACTTATACTTTTTTAATTGTTCAAATCATGTCATTAAGTGTTTCGCATTGCTCTAGACTCCACATATACGTCAAATAGCATATTTGATATTCAGATTATTTTCTTGTGTTTAAATATATTTTTGCATATCTAAATTGTGTATGTGTGCGCTTTTTGTGTCATATCAACTATTATTTATTTATATTTTAGATTATTGTATATTGCTCGTATTTTTAGTGATATACATTAATAAGTTCATGATTTTAGTATTCTACATATACATTGCAATCTTATTCTTTATTTTTCAACTCATAATATTTTTAGTACATAATTATCTTATCAGTCAGTTTTGTCTTGTTTATGTCGTTTTAGTATGTTCACATTGGTTTCGTTATTTCTAAGAGCAATGTATCTCTATTTTGATATTCAAGCATTTATATTGTTATGCTTGGAGTTTGAGTTACTAATTATATATAATTTTGTTACATTATATTATATCATTAGTTATAATTCTTTATATAAAAGATAATTCTAAATAGCGATTGTGGGTATGTATGGTATTTACTCATGGGTTGTTGATAGTACATTTGCATATTTGTTGTTTGTTGCTTCATTTTTTATATGTATTATTTTATCATTACGACAATATTCATTGTATACGCATGTTATTTTTTAGTGTTTATCTTATAGTGTTTTTAGATTTTTATGTCCTTTTATTTTGTTATTGGTGGTTGTTCATTCTCTATTTATTATTTTCGTTTACTTGTGTTGTGTTTTACTTTTTCATTCCTTATACTTACTATTTTTTTCATTACAGTGTATTCACATAGATTATTTATTTACGATGTATATTTTTATAATCATTTATCAACTTTGTCTAATCATGTTTTGTTTTATGTATTATCAGTGTTTATGTTTACCTGTTCATCAATCATTCATGATATCTTTATTTACAATATACCAGTGTTTTTATTATACGAATTTATGCCCGTTTATATTTCTATTTGTTTATAAACTATTTTATCTACCATAGTTCATGTTTTATGTATTATACATCTTTATTTATACACATATTTATGCTGATTGTATTTATATGATTTTGACTAATATGCCATATATATTGCTATATCTTAATTGATTTTATACAGTAATAATTATTATTGTTATATCTTGTTTATATTTATTATTTTACCTTATGAATATTACTAATATTTCTGATTTATTATATTGTTTGTCGAATACGTATATAATTTATGCCCTTGTGGGATCTTTCCGTGTGCCATGCACGCTGACGTACACATATTTTCTCTGGTGTACGTCGGACTTAGAGGAGGAACAAGTCTAGCTTGGAGATATGTCAGAGCCGAGTATCCTCAGCAGGAGTGCTTTGCAGAAAGAGCAGAAGAAGAAGTTGAAGCCTAGTTTTTCTTTTATTAGTTGATGGTCCTAGTTTACTTTTGTAGTTCTTTTTTTCGTTGATCGATGTAATCTATATCTCTTCAGCATTCAGTTGGATAGTTTTGTAATAAGGGCATGTTTGACCCAAATTTTGTGTCTCAGATGTTATCTCATTTGTGATATGATCTTTTTGTTCTGAGTTGTTTATTATATTCTTGCTTATTATGATCGGGAATCTGTGACTTTGTATTTTATATTGCTTGACGCTTAGTGTATTAGGTTGAGAAGAAATGGTTTTTTATTTATTCTCCTCAATCTAATACGTCGGGGGCATGTTTACGTTCCTATTCCCGGGTATTTTAGAAAGCGGGGTGTTACATGGGTCGTCCTCGGCGATAAGGTCGACTGATCCCGCCTTTCATGTCACCATGAAAGAAGATCGACTTGATGAGTCGGCGGGGTCGAGGCATTTGTTGGGCTTAGGCCACTTAAGTAGGTTTGAGGTTATTTTGCTAGGACTCTTATTGTATCATTTTGCAAATGCCCACATATTTGATGAGTGAATACCATAACAATTGGCAAGCTGTCAAACGAATTCCCGGATACCTGAAGGGAACCAAAAATAAAGGAATTATGTTTGAAAGACAACATGAAGAGGTGTGCATCCCTAGTTTCGTCGATTCCGATTACGGAGGAGATTTAGACAAGAGAAGATCCATAACGGGATACGTTTTCACTTGCGGTGAAGGACCCATATCTTGGAGATCCATGCTACAATCCATCAGTGCCTTGTCTATCACAGAAGCCGAGTACATGACATTAACGGAAGTTGCGAAGGAAGCCATATGGCTCAAGGGCTTAGCAAGTGATTTTGGTCTAAATCAAAACTTTATGAAAATTCAACGTAACAGCCAGAGTGCTATTTGTATTGCAAAGAATCAGATATTTCATGCAAGGACAAAACACATTGAAGTACGCTATCATCGGATTCGTGATTGGCTCATGACAGGAGAGGTCGATGTGAAGAAAGTTCATACAGATGAGAATGTAGCAGATTTTCTCACTAAACTTGTTATGGCGAAGAAGTTCAAGCATTGCCGAGTCTGCTAAATCTGACATGTTAGATCATGAGTGCACCTAGTCACCAGAGTTGTGCAGAGATGAGTTGATGCTCATCAAGGTGAAGTAGTTGAAGCCATAGAAAAACTTTCTCTAAAGTTCCGGGGTCTAACTTGTTAGATTCTGAAGATCCATGTTTAGGAGACAAGTGTTCGTGATTCAAATGAAGATTGACATTCCGAAAACTCATATTCTGAAGACTAATGCTCTGAAGATGCACCTGACAATTTCGAGTAGCATCAGATATTTCGCCAATGTGAAGATTGTTGGAGTTGGCTCAATTTTCAACTCAATTATTGCTGTAATTTTCTGCATGCAAATACAATTTTCCATGGTCTTTTTGGGCATGATGTAGTCATTATTTGCCTCAGAACTCTACATGAAAGTTGTAGAGGTGCATGCATAATTTACTCCTAGCTTTAAACCATAAGAATCGAAGCAATATTGATGGAGTTATGGTCAATCAATGTACCCTATCCGAATCTGAACAGATTTGTATATTCTCAAGCATCTTTGAAGACGAAAAGGTGGACTAGAAGGTTCATCAAAGCCTATAAATTGGCATGCTCTCATTGAGGAGTAGTAATCTAAGTTTTCACTTGTTCTTTTGAAAGTATAGAGAGTTAGAGTGAAGGAGAGTCTCTTGTGTTGTAGAGATCTTTAGTGTTGAGTTAATATAGAAGGAGTGTGTGTGAGGGATGTGTGGAAGTCGGCATTGTCGGGTGTGTCGTGTGTGTCTTGTACCCATTTGTTGATTCTATTATAGTGAACTATCCTCCGATCTCCGATCTTAACCTGTGGTTTTTTCCGTTTGGGTTTTCCACGTAAATCATTGTGTCCATTCTTTGTGTGATTATTTTTTATCTTTTTGTCATTAAGAACAAGATCCTGAAGTGATGTTTAGAAGTTTTGCGGTTCGTCAACACCAACAGGCTCCATGACAAAGGCTAATAATAAGAGGATCAACAAAAAATTTATACATGGAAACTTCATCTTTCTATTTTACATAGGAAAATAACAAATGTCAAGAAAAACCCTTATACTTTCTCTATTTGTAAATTAACATTTTTTAAAAGTATATGAATTAAACTTACTAAAATAAATAAATAAGTGAATAAACAAATGAAATGCGAAGGGAGCCGGAAAGGAGCGGAGGAATCTCACGCACATGATCGCGCCACCCCGGGATGCCCGCGATTCTCGCCCATGTGCTCCCCACCCTGTAACGGAAGTACCCCCTGTGGGCCCCATTTCATTACCGCTCAGGCACCTCATCACGTGACTCGCAGCCCCTCCAGGTTCAGGTGCCCCCCGTTCGTCTGCTAACTGTTCAGGTGTTCAGTAAATCCCCGACCCATTTAATCGGGATTAGAGCTCCCTAATCATAATTTTCTTATCCTTTTGACTGTTGTGAGCGCCCAACCGCAGTCAACTGCGCTGCTGGCACGTGATCCACAACCCGTGGCCGTTAATCTCTAAACGACGTTTATTATAACGGTGTTCTGGTGTATCGACAGAGACCGAGATTGGAAAAAGGGGTTAATAAACTAAGAAATAAATAAATAAATAAATAAAAGCGCCGTATAAAAGAAACTCCCCGACCCGTCTCCTACTATGTCTTCAGCTCTGCGGCTATATATAAACCCATAGATCTCGTCTCTCGAATAAATTTGCATTTCATTTCACTTGAATTTTGCTGCATTTCTGCTCTCTTCAATTCTCTTTCTCCGAGCCTCAGGTTTGCGGGCCACCATCGATCCTTTTTATCGACAAATTATTCGGAATTCGTACGAATTCTACGGAGATTCTCGCTGTTCGACGACGGAGATCCGTTTTCTACAGGGTCTCCCCGAGCTTAACCAGAGTCCATAAGATCACTCTGCGCTCTCGTGGATCTAAGCTAAATTTTTTAGTCTGATCGATCTTTTGATGTCCTTCGATTATTAGAATTCTAGGGTTTTAATTACCGCTTGAATCGAATTCTCGAGGCGATCAAAGATCCGAACCAAGGGAAGCGAAACTCATGTTGATGGAGTGCCAAGGTACGGATTCGAAAATTTGAAGGCGCGTCTCTTAAGTACTATGTATCATTTTAGTTATTAAAGTTTGAATTCTTTTATGAAAATATCTTGAGTTGCAGGTAAAAAAGCGACGCACGATTTCCTTTCGCTTTACAACAAGGACTCATCTTTCCAGCTTCAAGATTCAAGACCTGCATCTCAAGGTAATTAATTTCATAGAAAATTCTGCGATTATTGTTTTCATCTTACTTTATTAATAAACCGGAATTTGCAACTACGGTTCAACCTGAGCAATGCAAGTTCCGAGATCCAATTCTGTATAAATGGCGGGGTCATTTTGGGGAGGGTGATCTATCAGCAAAAATCCCGTGCGTGATACTAGGGCTAGTTCCGGAATCAACCAAAATAATCAAATTCTACGATCTGCCTCTGATCTTATTCTAGCCTCAAAAACAATCCGATGAGTATCTTAATCCAATCGGATGGACCACTTTTTTAATTGTAATTATAATTCAAACACGTACAGGGTTTTTTCTCAAGACCCACGATTTCCTCAAACCGCTGGAGACGCCGGAGGAGCCCGAAGCACGTCGAGGCCTGAGGTCGTCACGTGCGCGCGTGGGCCCGGGCTTGCTACTAAACCCGAACCCGATAGTGGGTACGGGCCATATTCGGGAGTCGCCTTCACGCTTTGGGACGCTAAGGATAGCGGCGCTAGAGGTAATTTAATTGACCCGTGAGTCCGTGACGCCATACTTTTTATTTATTTTATTTCAACTCTTCTATAACCCGAAGTTTTCGCCTTCATTTTTATTTTTAAATCCGATTTCTGTATTTTATGATATTTAAAAGCATATGGTAATAGATATATTTTTTCCCCCTCTTTCTAGAAAAAGGGATGAGGCCTCGCACAGAAGACCTCAGTCCTATATTAACTGCCTCAAAACGATTGATGCAAATAATGAATCACGTTTCATGCTGGTCGAAATATTACATCAATTTGCTGCAACATTAGAATTTTTAATCACAAGTCTGGTTGATTAAAGAAAATTATAGCATAGCAAAATACCAACAATGAAATACAGAAACTAAATTTAACAGTAAGTCGGTATTGTATTTTTGGTTTAAAAATGATATTGGAAATGAACTGGCTTATTTATTAATATATAAATCAGGTAAACGTTGGGTCTAGGGACACAAAACCTTCATTATTGTTATTATATATTATTATTATTATTATCGGTTCTTTTATAGAGTGCCCATGGACATTCTACAAAAGATGAGAGAGATATAGAGAAATGAATAGCTCATGAGCTTCTCTGATTTGCATTAATTTCTATGCATAATTTATTTCTCTCTATCTTTCTCCTCTCATATAGAATATCCACGTGCACTCTATATAGAAAAACAGTATTGCTATTATTATTTGCGGGAAATTGAACAAGGTGGACTGGGTTGGAGGTTCACGTGATGGTCACGCGTGTTGATAAGAAGACGTGCTCAACGAACGTCGCTGCTGTTAGTTAAAAAAGGTGGGGCCCATGCTGATGAAAGCCATGTGTTTCTCTTCGTGGGTGGGATTTTGGGTGTTTTAATTTACTGTGCGTGAAAGGATTTGAAGAGATCTCTCGTGCTGTTTCTGTGTCAGAAATACCGGTCGCGCTCGCGACAGAAGCCAAGTTGAATGCCCAATAGGATCTCATTCAGGAGAGATGTCGGGGGTAACAGTAATGTTGTTGTTTTCTTCCATAAAACTCCCCAGATCGTTGATATTACGTAATAACGCCAACAACTATTGCATTTAAGATCCGATCTAAAATTGGTCGAATAAATATTCAATGATCATGTTGAATTACTAAGCATCTTCTTTTTTCAGTAGCAAACCAGGCATTTTCACTGAGTTTAATATTTACTTTTTTGTTGTCAATAATCAAATCATGATTAGGGTTTTTTATCGGTTTTAGTCCCCTAAATCTTTTAAATTTTGACATTAGTCCCCCAAATCCTTTAGTATATTGAAACTAGTCCTCCAAATCTTCATATTTTGAAGTAAGTTCCCACAATTTATGAAATTAGTCCCTAAAATCTTTCAACCGGGTGCTAACTTAGAGGGACTAATTTCAAAATACTTATAAGATTGGGGACTAATTTCAAAATATGAAAATTTGGAGGATTAATTTCAAAATACTTATGGATTTAGGGGTACTAATTTCAAATTTTTAAGATTTTAGGGACTAATACAAAATATGAAAAAGGTGCGGACTAATTTAGACAAACCCCAAATGATTAATACAACTAACTTATAGAGTAATATCAATATTTGAATTCCTTTTGTACGTAACGGATGATAACAAACATCCATAAAATTACGTCAAAATTGTTTATTGTACATTCGAACCTCAATCATAAGGAAATTAAATTTGTTAATATGTGAATGCGCTCACAATATTATTATCTGAACTAATGTTGATTACATAATAATCTTGGCGTATAATCACAGAAAATGTAATGAGACGCATGCTAATCTAGACCGACTGCTTCTCAATGATTGGAGAATCTTTTATAGCATGTGACCCCAACAACAATGTGGATTTTATAATCTATTCTACCTGTCAATACCTAGCGTACAAAAGCTCCTTTATCAAGAGGCCTAACCAATAGCAATTTATAATTGCCACGATAGAAAGTGTTGAGGGTGGCCCACCGTACTAAACTACACCCACATGGCTCAATTTATTACATTCATATATATACGTAATGTGTGTGGGAATAATGAGTAACATATGTGATATGGTGGGAGTCTCTAACATAAAATGATATAGCACAATTTTTCATCAACTGAACTAAAGAGGAGAAAGAAATCGTCATAATCACACTTCGTGACTATTGTGTCACATTCTTGTATATGAGGAAATACTCTTATATGGCATATGATGCCTATTATTCTATCTATATAGAGGAGAAAGAAATCATCATAAACACACTTGGTGGAGATTGTGCTATATACCCCTCATATAAGGAAATACTCTTATATGGCATATGATGCCTATTATTCTATCTATATAGAGGAGAAAGAAATCATCATAAACACACTCGGTGGAGATTGTGCCATATACCCCTCATATATATAGACTATTAGGTATCATATTTCATATGAAAGGATTCCCTCATATACAATGATGTGACGCAATCTTCACTAAATGTGGTTACAAGGCATTCTCTCTTGTGCCACATTATTATATATGATATATGAGAGAAG